CTTTCTTCACTTGAATGTATAAAGGAAGTTGTCATGACGATGAGGATGTACATTTGTAAATAAAATCTTTATCATGCTCCCCTCGTGTCATCTGCGCAGTTTGATGAGCTCTATAGCCGACTGTCTGTTATAAGGAAACACGTGGTTGACGGGTGCTGGGATCACTTCATGGCCGACTCCTTCAGCTTCTGCCAAAACAAACAAACAATGACTTCATTCAAACCAACGTCCTGCACTGAGAAAATCCTGATCTCTATAAAATCATCTTCATAATTCCCCAAGCACGCCTCAAAAACAACTTATTTATTCCCACTGCAACCAGGAAGTATCCAGGATCAAATCTGGCCAGATTTCTCTCTGCAGTCTCGTTTTGTCGACACTGGAGCGTCTGAGTGTTTCCTGTGAGCTGTCTCTAGGTCCTTTTTGCTTCATGAATTTCATGAATTGTGGACACTGTGCACAGCTGGTTAAAGAACTACTTACTACAGCAAACCAGTATTTTTCCCCTTGTGTTATAGGTTTACTGTTCATTTCAGGCAGAAAACGCGTTTTTGTGGGCGAAGCTGATGAAACTCAGACTCGAGCATGAGGTCGATCACGTGAGGTTAGCATGAGCCAAAGAGCCCCAGCAGAAGGTCAGGTTTAAGTAAACCAGACTCTGATCAGGTTTAAGTCTGAATTAATCTGCACCATCTTCACCACAGCCGCCTCCTCCTCCTCCTCAGCGCTGTCTTACCAAGCTGCTGTTTAAAACCGCCGTACGTCTCCAGGTTCCTTATCGTGGAGCAGATGAAGACCTGAGGGAGAACCTCGGCAGACGAACACCTCAGGACGATGGACAGCAGCTTCGCCAGACTTCCTGCGATGTCGGGGTCGTACACCACGTCTGCACCACGACAAACAACAGGAATCTGCTTTAACTCCAAATCTGAGAAAGCAGATTGTCAACAGCTCCACAAAATCCAGAACAGACTGAGGTGTGTGAATGTGTGTCCACGCCATCTCCAAAAATCTGACCTGCGGCGATGATGACATCAGCTCCGATCTCCCTCAGCTCTTCCTCTGAGATTGCCGTCCAGTCCAGCTTCTCCACGCTGACCGCTGGGGTCGTCTGCTCGCTCAGCCCATTCAGCCAGACGTTGTCTCTGAGTTTCTGCAGCACTGTGGAGTGACAGTCGCTGAAGATGAATCGCTTCGGGCTGCACGACCGACAGACGGCGATACCCGTCAACCCCGCACCGCTGCCCAGCTCCAGCACCGTCCTGAAGGAGGAGGAGCAAATCTAAAAGCTGCAGAAGCTCCACCTGGAGGGCGACGACCTGCAGATCCTTCCGCTTACCTGCCTGTAAAGACCTGCTGATTCTCCAGAGCCCACTCTGCCAGGTAAAGAGCCGCCTCCCACGTCACCAGCCCGGTGGTCCCCTCTGAGATCAGAGCAATGTTCTCCATCAAGCTCACAGCGCCACCAGCAGGCTGCAGGACACAAACATCGCTGCACTTCAAATTAAGACTCCTGCAAGCAACAGCTGGCAAAAGTAGGGCCGGGCGATTCAGACCGAAAATCAGATCGTGATATTTTTATGGCACAAAACAAATAATTTGATATAAAGGTAACAGTGACACTGGGGGTTTTCTGTGTGCGGTACCAGCAGGTAGCTCTTGTAGCACTCCATGGTCTCCTCAGCGCCCACCACCTCAGCCAGAGCATCGTACAGCTCATCCAGGGGTTCACAGCCTGAAGCTTCCAGCTGTGGAGGAAGAAACCAGGAAGCACACAGCCGGGTTTGACTCTGTGATCGAGTATTTCAACATCTTTCTGCCCAGAGCAAAAAAAAAGCTCAACTAATAATCTGAGAGTTAACCTCTCCTTACCCGTCTGATGAGCTGGGAGAGAAACAGCCTCCTGTATCTGACTGAAGGTGGAAACTTCCGGCACAGGGGATGAAGGCACGTCTGTAAAAACATGTGACTGTTCATTACACTGACGAAGCTGTTTTATGATTGCAGCACGATGGAGGAACACTCACCTGTTTCAGCACCTGAGAAATGAGCTCTGATGACCCGCTGCTCTGAAGGTCTTTTTCTACAAACTGTAAGCAGATAAAAAGTTCAACCTCTGTGTAAGTCACGTTTTAAGTTCAATTCAAGTCATTCACATTGCGCCAAATCACAACACTCGCCTCAAGGCGCTTATATTGTAAGGTAGACCCACCATAACCCCAACAATCAGACGACCCCTACGAGCAAGCAGGGCGACAGTGGAAAGGAAAACATGTCCTTTAAGAGGAAGAAATCTCCGGCAGAAGCAGGCTCAGAGAGCCCGTGGCCAATTTGAAAACATACAAACAAATTAAAAGAAAGAATGAAAAATTCTCTTTATGAACTGAGACCAAAATTATTCAGGGAGGTCCCTTGACTGGTTACAAGCATTGCTTTACTCATGTTTCACAGGCAGAGGCTGCTTTGGTGCTAAAATGCGGAGATTTCTGAATGAAGTTCGGCCAGACTCGTACTCACAGTCCAGGGAAACGAAGGGAGCCGAGTCAGAGCGAAAAACGACACCTGGAACTCCCTTAAAACCTCTTTAACTGACCCGTGAACCGAGGACTGCTCTGAAAGCGCCATCTTACACGTGTATTTGTTTACTTCCTGTTTACCCATAATCCTGCGCGACCCTCTCTCGCCAGAGCCTCTGGGTAGTGAAGTTTATCTGTAGGTTTGAGCATCGGCTGCCTTTTTTACAGCTACAGAGAGCTAGTGCATGTGTTTAATACGTACATACATACATACAGTCTTCTTTTTAATGTTATATCTTTTATTAGTGGACATTTATTATTTAAATGTAATGTTTTGTATTAATTAGAACTTAACTTCATTTTGAACCAGAGTGTGTTCTGGGGCTTTCCTTAACCTTTTTGTACAGTTTCTGTTGCTCTCTGTGTGTTTTTCTTTTCCTTTTATTTTGGAGGGTCTTCAGACATCAGCTGCTGGAGAGCTCTGATTATGGTCTCATCATATTTTATCTAAAAGGTTCAGGATTCAAGTCCAGCAAATATCTTTTTCTACTTTTAAGGTCAAAATTAAAAGTTGCCACTCCTGTGGCTCTCCTCTGCATCATGAGATCAAACCTCCAGATGACCCACTTCTCCAGCAGGTAGTCTTATGCTTTAAAGATCTTCTGTGTAAGTTTTCTGAATTAAAATCGTGTATACTTTTGTTTTAAGGAGGTTTTGTCTGTTTCGTTCGTGTGCATGTTTTGTAACCTCAGAGTAAATTTCTGATCCATCAGAGCTGCTGGAGAGCTCGACTGGTTCTGTCTGTCAGTGGATTTAAACACTGAGGCTCAAGGTTCAAGTCCAGCTGCAGTTCTTATTGAATTTTATACCTGAATCCAGCAGCGTGTTGAAACCTTCCCTTTATGCCAGCTTCAGCAGCTCGGTGACATGAATAAAAGGTTACTGTGGTATAAATCAAAGGGCTGAGCCACACTCATGTTCATTTAGGAACCTGTGATATCTGCTGATATCTGTGAAGCTTCAGTCAGATCTGCTGCTGTGGCCTTGAATTCTGCCCGCTCACAAACGTCACTTCGTCCAGAAGGTTTCTGATATTTCTTTCTCCTCGCGCTCTTTTCTTGCTGTGTCACTGCAGCCGGAGATAAAATCTCTTCAGTTGGACCAACTGTGCATTCACAGCAGCAGCTCCAGCACACTGAGCATTTACTGGTGAGTATGAGCTGATTATTTTAAAACATCAGTTTGATCATTTCACTTGGTTTTCTTACCAGAAAAGAAGAACCTAAGAGAAACTAACGATTTTGATTATTTGTGGATAATAAAGTTTTAAAGTTTTCGGTCCAGGTAAATTATAAATGTTGTTATAATATTATAAAATCTTATTATTATTTTAAAAGGACCGCATGAAGACAGTGAATATAGAAATGAGTTAAATTAATTAAAAAGGATTAGCAGAAACACAGTCCTTTATAACGCCGACACGAATTACTGTTTTCAAAATCAGAGGAGCGTCTTGTGGCCAACGCTGAAGCCTGTGAACGTGGTAAAATTCAATTTTGAAGCAAACGTAATAAATTCAGTGTAAACTGGAATTATGAGTAAGGAGAACTACATGTTGACTTTAACTGCTTATTTTATTGTTCTGTGATGTTTTGGGTTGAAACGTTTCCCCTTAAGGATCAATACCTTCATTCAGACATTACAATTCAGAAAATCCTGATCAAACTATTAGCATAAAACAACAAGGAATGTAAACTAATATAGTCACTTTTCAAAATAACATTATTAATATTCTCTATTGAAAGAGGAAAAAAAACTTTGGTAAAAAAAAATATGTGAGACTTTTAATTCTTTCAAAAACTGAAATCTAATCGCAGTAAGAGGAACGCAGCACAGTCATTAACGCGTGTTTCTCTCCGGAGCGTTTTACCGCACGGACTATCAACAACGAAGATGGCGCCGACGGTTTGCACGTAGCTGCAGAGGGAAGGTGAACTCTTGTTGTCGTGTTAAACAAGGTAAAAGTTGCATTTTTAACACTCGTGTCTCGTCTCCGCAGTGATGTTAGACACTTTGATCTTTCCGTTGTTTGTTCGAGCTTCAGTTTATTGATTTTAAAACACTTTTAACGAAAAATAATGAAAAATGCGAAGAACTTTGAGGTGGTTGTCAGGTGGGGGACATGATAAACCAGCAGGTTGGGGTGTCACTCTTCTCTTTGACGTGTTGGGTAATTTCTTTATGTTCCCGCGGTTCCTCTGCAATAACACTGCAGATAAAACTGCAGCTGACCGGCTTCGTGGTCTCGGAAATCAATGTCATCCCTGCCCCGGGCTTCCTGTTGTGCTCCAATCGGGTTTCTGATTGAAGGGCAAAAA